TAGCTGCAGACTTTTACCTCTTTTGTGTCAGGTTTGATGTTGAATTGGACAGATTTCAACAGAAACTTCCTCCAAGGGGAATTTAATTTGTTTACCAAAATTTCCCTTTTTCTATTATTATTATTATTATTTTCTGATGGAATGTTCTGTGGCGTCCCGTAATGTTTGACTTTTTCTCTTTGATTTGACTGAACCGAACAATGAGAGCGTATATATGGTGGTGCCTAAAAAATAATTTTTAAAATATTAAAATTTTTAACAACAATGCAAATGTTATTTTTTAAAAAAAATGTGTAACTTTATGAATTTTTGGAACGTATATATTTTTTCCGATATTTCATACAAGTTATTCAATCGACTCAAAGCAAAAGATTTTATAATTAGAATGAAAAATCAAATACCCTCATCTGATTATTTTTTTTGTCGGTTATTACCCGATCTCATTCTTTTTTGTGATATACAATTGTTTAATTTTTTTTTTACTTTCTTTATAAAATCTATCAAATTTTAAACTAAATCAATTATAATTGTCTCTGGTCCGGCACTGTGACCAACGGTGACGTTGTTAGATGTTTGAAAGAATTCCATGACCATATAACTGATGATACACATGTTAATATATGTGTTTATTAGTGTGTGTACATGGGTACAAATATTTTTTTTTTGCATTTCTTGCTTTTTTCAAATGCTGATATGTATATATATTGTGTGTATATATGTCAAATATGTATTCCGTATATGTATATGTGTGTATATTATATGCATAAGCATGTATATATACGTGTGTGTTTATATGTATAGATAGATAGAAGTATTGGAATTTTTTTATGGATTTAGCTACAGCAAAAAGTTGTTTAAACGTTCTTTTAAAAATAATAAAAAATTATTGATCTAACTAATATTATATATAGATTAGTTATATGAGGATTTTGTATTATCCACGGATATCTAAATAATGTTTAGGTGTCTATGAGTTGTTTTAAGACGACAAATATCTAAATGTTTAGATTAGTAGATATATGTTCAGGACGATGAATATCTAACTAAATGTTTAGGACATACATCTAAATATTTAGATATATGTTTAAGTGTACATGAATTTTTTTTTAAGAAGACGAATATCTAAATGTTTAGGTACATGTGAAGGGGGGGGGTCCGAGGGTGAGACAAGACGAGCTAAAACGCGACGGTTGGGACAAGAGAGCAACGAGAGAAACATGTCAACCGGGGCAGTCCGATCTCGCACTTGGCCCGAGGAACTCGCGTTCGGAATAGCCCGATTTTTTTAGATCTATATAACTAAGTTTAAAGTCCAACCCTATAGGTTTTGAACTCTGATTGGGCCAACCGATCAGATCAAATTCTTTCGTAAATTTCTTTATTTTTTTATTAAAAATTTTTATATCGGGCTTTCGAACTCGAATTTGAATCTGGTCCGAAAATCTAAATTTTTTGTCAACAAATTTAGAACCGAAATCCGCTATTTTTTGAATTGGGTTTCGGACGTCGGGTCATGACACCTATTTTAACCGTGTAAAGTTATAAAAATAATGATAATTTTATAAATGTGTTAAAGCTAAATGATATATATGTTCGGATAAAAATTAGATTGTGTTGGGATCCATATTGTATACATACATAATTCAAAGGATCCCAATAAATCGTATAAAATGCATCTTTGTTGATAGTAAATATCTCTAAAATTGTCCAATTAAAATAAAATAAATTATTTGATCAAAAAATTTAAAAGTATAGATATTGAGATTTATTTGAATTTGATGGTAGTCAAATTGTTTGTTGGTAATTATATTACAAACGTATGTTAAAAAACTAATAAATATTAAATCTTAACTATAAATTTGTTAATTTATCATTTAAAACATATATGCATATATAGATAATCGTGTATCATTATAATATTATTATCTATATAATGTCATATATTAATATGAGTATTTAATAAAATATGATTAGTTTTAAGATAATTTGTCTGAGTTATTGTTTATTAGGGTTTGTGGATGATAAATGTTTTAAATGAGTATTTTTCTAATTAAGATTTTTTTGGACAATTTTAAAATAATGAAGGTTTTTCTGATTAATGGAGGATTGACTTTTTAAATGAATATGTTTCTTTTTCTTCTTATATTATTACACCAAGCTCCCAGAAAATAAAAATCCATAAAACAGAAGAAATGGATGAACAAGTAATGAGCTTGCGTAACAGATGAAACGAATCTTCATTTTGACTATTTTATTTTTTCCTCATGTGAGGATATAACTATATATATATATACACATAAATCATACTAAACAGACTGAAGACCCTCGGGGAGAGGGGCGTGTTGGGGATCGGCGTCCGAAGAAGACACGAACGTGCGACAAGCATAGAGTACTGCCGAATGGAAGCCTGTCGGATTATCTATGAACACGAAATGCCCTCCCTGCCTCCACCAACCAAAACCAAAAATCCGAAATCGAAATCAGACATCTTTGAGTTCTGCTATTTCTCTCTTCTTTTACGCTGCGCGAAAACTGACCTTTGGAACTCGGATGATTTCGCAAGGAACCTTCATCTGTTTCCGGGCTTCCACTGCACCTTGATAGTTCATCCAATCTTCGGATC